TCAGCTGTGGCAAACCACCTTGCCGATCTGATTTTGGTCCCCAGTTGCGCCAGCACTGTTTCTTATGTTGTGGGAGGGCGGGTGGGAATGGACATGCCATGCTTGACTCGCTCGAGCTGGCTAGCTTGACTCCTACTCCTACTCCTAGTCCTACCCCTACCCCTGCTCCGCCACATCCTCCTCCTTTTCCTTTTCCTCCTCCTCCTCCTCCTGCTCCTCCTCCTCCTCCTCATCATCATCACCATCACCACCACCATCATCATCATCATCATCATCATCATCATCATCATCATCATCATCATCATCATCATCATCATCATCATCGTCATCGTCATCGTCATATCGTCATCGTCATCGTCATCGTCATCGTCATCGTCATCGTCATCGTCATCGTCATCGTCATCGTCATCATCAGCATCATCAGCATCATCAGCATCATCATCATCACCGTCATCGTCGCCATCATCCACAACATCACCCTCCCTTCCATAATCGTCGGTGGCCTTATGTACCCCGACCCCCCTTCCATCTTGTCATCCTCCTCCTGCCGAGGAGCCGGGATACAGGCCCCCCCCCATCGTGAAAGTATGTCCCGCGCTGCCCCATGTTCCTGATCGGGCAAACTATGGCAAGCTACCAGCCTGGGCATCGCCGCTGGGTGGGCTGGTGGCGATACGCAAAGCACTCCATACACGGGCTGTGCTGGAGCGCCGCAGGAGCGCCCGGTGTCGGCACGCACTTCAAAGACACGATGTGCGATCACCAAGCAGAAGCAAAAACGCGCGAGAGCAATGCGGTCGCCCGCATTTCTCGTCAGCGTCTCCCGAGTCCGCAGGGAGCGGGCCGCTGGAGCGCCCTGCGTCGGCACGCTACTCGATCGATTCGCTCAACCGGCTGGTCAGAACTGGCGCCCTCTGATGCAATCAGTTTGCGATGCCCGAAAGGCTCACGGATCATGCCTTGAGGCGGGTCGAAAAGGCACATGCTTATATATGTTTTCTTTTCTCCGTCGGTGACGAGGCAGAGGCAGTCCGCTCCAACGTGTAGCTACTCGGGGCAACCGAAAGGCGAATTGTCAAGAGAGAGGAACAAGACGAGGGCGGCCGCGCGGGGGGGGGGGGGGGGAGAGGCTGGATTAGCCTGGCGCTTCTTTTCCGGCGTAAAAGCTTCGTCATTCCGTTTTCACTTTTCGGTTGATCGACATCCATAAAAAGCGATCCTTTTTGCAACGCCGCGACAAAGCAAATCATATTGTAAGGCCGCGACAAAACGATTTTTTTTGTAAGGCCGCCACAGAAGGAATCCTTTCGCAAATCCGCCACAAAAATCTCTTGTAGGGCCGCCACAAAAGGAATCCTTGTGCAAAGCCGCCGCACAAGAAATCCTGTTGTAACACCGTCACGAAAGAAATCCTTCTGTAAGGCCGACACAAGAGGAAACAAAACCGCCAGGGGCGGGCACGCGAAAATGCGAAAAAGGCAGAACATGCAAAACAAATGCATAAACAACTAAGGACGTCCCAAGAAACCCATGCGAAAACTGCAGAACCTAAGGACAACCAATGTTTTCGTAGTGACGTGGTGCCCAAACCTTCTGTTTTCTCAGGGTTTTGTGGCGATCGGAAAGCAAAAATAACAGTTGTCCTTTGTTGTTGCCACCTTTTCGCATGGATGTCTTGGCATGTCTTTTTTTGGTTTTGTCTCTTTTTTTGCGCGGTCGCATGTTCGCGCTCTGGCGCTGCGCTGGCCCTTGCGTCGCCAGGAGCAGACACGCGAAAATGCGAAAGAGGCAGAAACTGCAAGAAAGACATCCCAAGAACTCCATGCGAAAAAAAACACTAAGCCTGAGGAAAGCCGATGTTAGCGCGATGTGGTTGCAACGACACCTGTGGAAAACACACACACAAGGTGTGAGCACTTCGACGTCACGAAACCCTATGTTTTCACAAGTTTTGTAGCGATCAGGTAGCAGGCCGCCACAGAAGGAATCCTTTTGCAAGGCCGCCACAAAAGGAATCCGTTCGTTGTAGGGCCGCCACGACAAACATTATTATAGAAGGCCGCCACAAAAGGGATTCTTTTCCCACGCCGCCACAAAAAGAATCCTTTGGCAACGCCATCACAACATGGAGCCTTCCGCTCCAGGGTCGCCACAACGTTATTTTCTTCTTGCGCGGCCAACTCGCAAGACATCATGTTCTAGTGCTGCCACAAGAAGAATCTTTTTTTCGCAAGGCCGCCACAACAGGAATTCTTTTGGAGGTTCGCCACCAACCAGGCCTCCCCTTGTGAACTCGTCACTACAGAGTTTCGGTTATAAGGGTGCCACAGACAAACACTGGTTCTCCTTAGTGGTTGCAGCATTTTCGTATGGATGTCTTGGGATGTGTTTGGTATTCTTTGTTGTTTGTTTTGTCTGTTTCTTTCTGCGCTGCCGCATGTTCGCGCTCTGGCGCTGCGCCTGCCCGCGCGTCGCCAGGGGCGGGCACGCGACAATACGAAAAAGGTAAAACATAGAATAACACAAACATCATCCTAAGAAATTCATGCGGAACAACTGCCAAACGTAAGGAGAGCATGTTTTACAATCTGAGTACAACGAAACCTTTGGAACCATAAAGTTTTAGCACTTCGACGTGCCGAAACCCTATGTTTGCACAGGTTTTGTAGCGATCAAATAGCAGGCCGCCACATAAGGAATCATTTTGTAAGGCCTCCACAGAAAGAACCCTTTCGGTGTAGGGCACCCACGACAAACATTCTGTTATAAGGCCGCCACAGAAGGGGATCCGTTTCTCACGTCGCCACAACAAGAATCCTTTGGCAACGCCATCACATAAGAAATCCTTCCGTTGCAGGGTCGCCACAAAATTATCTCTATTGTAAGGCCACCTCACAAGACATCATTTTCTAGTGCTCCCACAAGAAGAATCCTTTTTGTAAGGCCGCCACAACAGGAATTCTTTTGTAGGGTCGCCACCAACCACTCCTCCCTCTGTAAACTCGTCACTACAGAGTTTCGGTTATAAGGGTGCCACAAACAAACACTGGTTTCCTTAGTGCTTGCAGCTTTTTCGCATGGATGTCTTGGGATGTCCTTGGTTTTCTTTGTTGTTTGGTATATTCTGCTTCTTTTTGCGCTTTCGCATGTTCGCGCTCTGGCGCTGCGCCTGCCCTCGCGTCGCCAGGGGCGGGCACGCGACAATACGAAAAAAACAAACAATATAATAACACACAAATGCAGGGCTGCGATCTGCGACACTCTCGCCACTTTCGAGGGCTGCTGGTGGGTCCTGCGGAGTGTCTTGGGCGCGGGGCGCGTTTGCCATCAGAAACGTGTCGAAAAATCAGCATGGCCCGCGATTTCGCTTTCTCAAGGAACTTGAGCCACGGCGGAAGCACACCTTGAAGGTTTCTTCTTTTATTCGTGTCGTCAAAAAATAGTGACATTCTTTCTTTATTTTGGAAGCGGCGCGCTTGCCATCATAAGCGTACCGACAGATCTCGCAATGCGAAATAGACGACAGTAGTCGCTAAATTCTTCGCAGTCGTGGACCGATCGTGCGTTTCTAAAATACCGAACGTCGCAGCGTATTGATTTTCATCCCAGCGCCAAGGCTGGCGATCGCATAGCCGTTATTATATTTCGCACAAACACGGAACGCGCGGAGGGATCGGAGGATGAGGGCAAAGGGAAGGGAAATGATCAAGGGGGAAATATTGAGACATACAAGTCACATCATGGGTTTGGAGAAAGGAGGGGGAGGACGAGGAGGATGATGAAGCTGATGAGGACGAGGAGGAGAAGGAGGAGGAGCGAGAAAATGCGGGGATAATGAGGAAGGACAAGGATGGAGAGGAGGGCGAAAATATAATGAAGAAGCGGACGGGGAGGAGGAGGGGCAGGAGGAGGAGGAGGAGAAGGCGGAGGGAGTGGAGAAGGGCGAGATCACAGTAGTGCCTGCGTTTCGCACAGACGCAAAACAAGCGCCAGGCTCATCCATCCAGCCTCCCGCCGCGGTGGGAAGGGGAGGGGAAAGCGCTCAGACGTTGAAGAGCTCCGCGTAGAGCAGGCCGGCGCGGCCGGCCGAGGCAGCGGATACCGTGGCAGCAGCCGGGGTCGTGGCCAGGGCGCACCCACGAGCGCTGCCAGGGCGCAGTGACGATGGCGAGCAAGGAGGGAACCAGTCCAGGAGTCCGAGGACTGCCACCAGCCAAATGCTGAGTCCACCAGGTGCACCGACTGTGTGGTGCTGCGGCCCAAGCGCAGCGTCCGCAGCGGGGCGGCACCGGGTGGGTGGGGCTGAGCTGCCCGCCAGGAGGAACGGCAGCGCGGCGGCGCCATGGCGACACGCGGGGAGGGAGGGAAGAGGGCGAGGGGGGAGGGGAGGGAGGGAGGGGGAGAGGAGCACCCCGCCCGCGGGTGGCCCCCGGCGGGCGGGGTGGCCCCCGGCGGGCGGGGCGGCCGCAGCCCGCGGCGCAGCGCGGGCGGCGCCCCGGCGGAGCGCGGGGAAGCGCCCTCGGATGCGGCGAGCAGGTGCTGGCTGCGCTGAAGGGGTTGCCTGGAGACGGGCCCTCCGATGCGGCGATCAGGTGTGGCAAGTGCGGCTGCCCGGAGGCGGGCCCGTGCGTCAGGGTGGCGCGGCGCCAGGGGCAGGGGGGGGGGGGGGGGCGGCCGGCGACGAGGGGCGGCGGCAGAGCCGCAGAGGCGGGAGCGGGGAGAGGGCGGGGCACGCACCCCGGGCGGCGCAACGGCTCGCGGAAGCAGCAGGGGGCCACGTGCGAAGCCTGCCCCTATACCCCCCGCGATTTCTGAGGGGGAGGGTGGGGTTCGCGTCTTCGCGTCGCTCGGGGGGCTCCCGAAGGAAGCGAACCCCGCCCCACCCCCCCCTCAGAAATCGTGGGGGGTATAGGGGTAGGGTTCGCACGTGGCCCCCGAGACAGGGCTGCGTGCCGCCCGGGCAGGCGGCTCGCAGCCAGTGGGAGGGATACTTCTTTGTTGAGCGCGCCAAGGGCCAGCAGGGGCGGCCCCAGGCGCCGTGCTCGGGGGCCCGCGCGGCGCGCGGGCGGAGGGGCGGTTCTCTCGTCGGTCGCGGGGAGGCTCAGAGCTTCGCGGTTAGGTTCGGATGCGCCGCCTTCATCCTCTCGACCGCGGCGACCACGGCCGGGTCCTTTCCGAAATCATTGCCGCTCAGGTCCAGAGCGGTCACCTGCGGCATCTTCCCGAGCGCCGCCGCCAGGGCCGCAGCCGCGCCCAGGTCCATCCCGAAATTATTGCCGCTCAGGTCCAGGGTGGCCACCTGCGGCATCTTCCCGAGCGCCAGCGCCAGGGCCGCCGCCGCGCCAGGATCCTTCCCGAAATCATTGCTGCTCAGGTCCAGGGTGGCAACCTGCGGCATCTTCCCGAGCGCCAGCGCCAGGGCCGCCGCCGCGCCAGGATCCTTCCCGAAAAAATTGCCGCTCAGCTCCAGGGTGGTCACCTGCGGCATCTTCCCGAGCGCCGCCGCCAGGGCCTTCGCCTTCCGCAGCTTGCTCTTCAGGTCCACCTTGCCGTCGAACGTGCTCAGCGCAGTGCCCACCACCCTGCCGACGACTTCGCTTTGCGAGCGAGCTGCATATTCCAACAGCGTCATCTTGTTGCGGCTGGGGTCCCTGATGCACGGCGCGAGGCTGGGAAGAGCTTTCTCCGGCGTGGCCCCGAGGACGCTGGGCAGCTCCTGGTCCTTGACAGTGCGGCATGCTGCCAGCAGCACGGTCTCTGGCGCGCCCGCCAGGAAAGGCAGCACCATCGGGGGGATCGAGCCGTTCAGCTCCTCAAACAAGCGCTCCGAATCGTTGTTCTCGCCCGCCTCCATCAGGACCGAGGCGACCTCCGCCATGTCGTTCTTGTGTGTCTCGAGGAACTGCCGCATCTTCGCGGTGGCTCGGGGGCTGCGGCAGCGAGCCGCCAGCTCCCTGATCACCCTCGGGGTGTACAGACTCTCGTTGGCATCGGTGGCGCACCGCTTCTGGACCGCCCACTGCAAAGGCTCTTCGTCGCCTGCCGTGCCGATCTGCACCGGCAGCTCCAAAGGGTCAAAGCCTGCGAAGGCCCGCTGACCGCGCGGCGGTCGCGGCTCGATGCGCAGCTTCAGGAGCCAGGGCGGTCGCCACGGGTCCAGGCTGATGCTGATCTCCGCGCCGCCGTTCGCGCGCCTCCCCCCGCAGGCCCGGAACCTGCGTAGGCCCGGGCTCTGGCTGCACGCCTCGGTGAAGCTCGCGTTGGTGGCAGAGGCCTCGATGCTGGCGTTGCCGTCGAACCAGAGAGCGACAAAACCGGGGTCCTCGAGGAGGGGAACCAGGTGCAGCTGCAGGTTGCCGCCGGAGGTCGGCACGTCGTACTCTGGGAGCTCGATCCTGATGCTCGGCCTGCTGCTCATGATGACCACTGGCGTCAACTTCACATTTCCTGGGAAACGAAGCTCAGCGGGCATGGCCAGCACGGAGGGCGTCCCACGGAAGAACTGTACCGAACTTGCTGATGTATCCACTGGAACGTCGCTAGACGTGCTGACGGCAAGCTTCACGAGGCCTTCCGACCGGTTGTTGATGTAGGTCATCAAGTTGCCGATGCCGTTCAGTGACTGTACGCCGTCACCGATGGCCTTGCGCATGTGCGCGCAGCGCTCGGCCGAGTTGTTGTCCAGAAAGCAGACCCTTCCTTGCAGCGTGCGCTGCTCCAGGAAGCGCCGCACCTCGGCGTCCTTCACGTCCCTGTTCCGCGGGGCGCTGCCGTGGTGCTTCATGCACTCGTGCGGGCCGATGATCTGGTAGCAGCCTGCGTCCACGCTCGCGTGCGCGACGCACCTCGGGTGGTGCCTGCAGTCCTCGTCGCACTTCTCGGGCGGGAGTCCGCCGTAGAAGCCCGTGATGAAATCGTGGTGGTCGTGGGTCTCAGCGCCGGCTGCAGTGAGATCCTCCGGTAAGTTGAACTCGTAGGTGTCGGTGCCCACCTCGAGCGCGACGTCCGTGACGTTCGCTGGCAGCGAGATGGAAGTGCCAGGGAGCTCGCCCCACGGCAAGCAACGAGTGAATTCGGTTTGTCCAATCGTGCCGCGGACCACGAGACTCTTGGCAAGAATCTGCATGGGCTGCACGCGGAAGACGTACTCCGTGCTCCAGAGGCCGTTGTCGACCGTAGCGTTGACCATGGCCGGGAACATGCGCCCCCTCTCCAAACGATTGAGAGCGGTGCACGTCCGGCTCTCGTCGATCATGGGCTTCCCCGGCCACTGGACCTGAAGGCGTGCCGTATCTTCGGGGTCGCACTGGAGGAAGAGGTCAAGCTCCACCTGGGCGCTGTCCACGAGCAGCTCGTACTCGCGCCTCTGGGGAGAGAAGCGCGGGACCATGTGCCCGGCGCCTGTCAGAGACTGCGTGAGAGGAGGAGGAGGAGGAGAAGGAGGAGGAGGAGGAGGAGGAGAAGGAGGAGGAGGAGGAGGAGGAGGAGGGGGAGGAGGAGGAGGAGGAGGAGGAGTGAGAGGAGGAGGAGGAGGAGGAGGACCATGGGCCCCCCTTTCAAGACTGGCTAGGACGTAAGGAGGCCGCGTGGCGATGCCGACCCGACGAGGACGGCTGCAAGACACGCAAAGGCACACGCCTCCAGGCTACCCCCGCGACCTCCATCGCCGCGCGGCGAACCACTTAAAGTCTCCGTCGACCTCCTCACGAGCAGCGTTCGGCGTCTCAGCGGTACTAGCCGAGGCGCACGGCGTCGAAAAATAAAAAAAAAAATAAAAAAAAATAAAAAAAAAAAAAAAAAAATAATAAAAAAAAAAAAAATAAAAAAATAAAAAAAAAAAAAAAAAAAAAAAAAAAAAAAAAAAAAAAAAAAAAAAAAATAAAAAAAAAAAAAAAAAAGAAAAAAACGGGTTGAACGATGCGCCCCCCCCGTGCCCCGGCCGCTCACACTCGGCTCGGAGCGCGCCGTCCGCTCCCGCGCGCCGCAGTGCGAGGGAGGCGCTCTCCGTGACGGGCGTGAGCCTGGCCAGACAGAGCGGCACCTTGCCCTCTTCGCCGTCGGCCTTCTCCAAGACGTCGCAGCTGATCTCGCAGCAGTGCAGTCGGTTCTCGATGGCGATGATGCCCGAGAACACCTGCCACGCGGCCCGGACGAGGAACGCGTTGACGACAGCACCACTTGCCGCCGCCTGAGCGCTGGTATCACCGGCCCACCACGCTGCAGCCATACAGTACCCAAAGCGGGCACCTGTGACTAGCAACAGCAGCGCCACCAACCGCCCCGAGAGGCCGAGCGAGCTCTCGAAGCGCAGCCTCTCCCCGCGGCACAGGTGCAGGTAGAAGTCGTTCGCACGGTGCCACGTCAGGGCCACCCGCCACAGCGCAGCCGGCGCCAGGACGACGGGCAGCATGAGCAGGTAGAGGCTGGCGGAGCCGTTGCCACGCATGGCGATGCCGGAGCAGATCGAGCTCCCCAGCGCAACTACGAGCTCGCAGAGTCCCCGAGCGATCTTCTGCGTGACCTGCTCCGCGCTTGGCACCAGCATCCCCTCGGGCGGCGGCAACACGAAAGCCTCCGCCGAGGCCCGCCCCGCTGCGCCCCTGCAGGCACACACGAGGAGCCCGGCGGCCGCGGAGAGGGCCAGGGCAGCGGCGAGGACCACGAGGACATCCACGATGAGGGGCTCCTCCTCGTCGACGCGCGCGAACATGTCGTGGATTCTCGGGCCCACGTACGGCAAGCTGTACAGCTGCCGATGCAAGTGCACCCGCGGCACGCTCGTGGACAACGGCCACCAGGACACGACAGGGATGGGCACCCGAGCGATGCACGAGCCCTGCTCCCCGTGCACGGCAACCCGCGCGGTCCGGCAGCTCGTGCGGGCGAGTGCCTCGCGCCCCAGGCCCGTGACGCGGATGACCGCCTCGCCCTCGAGCGGGTGGTCGTGGTTGTGGTTGACGTGGACCTCGACCCCGACCCCATCGGCCACCACCGCGCCGTCGCAGCGCAGCTCGTACGCGTCTCCCACCTTCAGGCGCCGCAGGGCCACGCCCTCGCGGCCCTTGACAGCGTACCGCCACGGCGAGGCGCCAGACTGCCTCGCCTTTGGGCAATCCAGCGCCGTGCCACCGTCGTCGGCCGCGCCGGGCTCCTCCGGCGGGCCCCCCAAGTCGAGCGGCGGCCGCATGGCCGCGGCGCCGAGCAGGGCCGCGACCGTGACGGCCGCGCTCAACGGTGGGCGCCCCATGTCATGGAACAGCTTCGCCAAGATACCGCTGCCTGCTGCCTGCTGCTGCTGCAGGCTCTGCTCGACAAATAGTTGCCTGAGCCAGGGGCTACGGAACGAAGAAGGCACGCATGCCCCGCTCCGCTCTGACCCCTCTCCCTCCCTCAGCGCCACCCTCGTTGCTTCGCAGCGGACGGGGACTCTGATCGATGCAGGCAAGTGCCGCTTTCCTACGCCGTCTGGCGCGGAGGTAGCACTTTCCTACCACTTCCATTTTCTGGGGAAACCGAAAGGGACCGATACCGCTACTTCACGGACCTCTCCCAGGCTGCGTTCTGACCAGAATTTCGAAGCGAATCCAGCCGCGGCGACGAGGGCCTCCCAGGAGGACCAACACGGCGAGAACGAGGGAAGCGTAGCGGTATTGATACCTTTTCCTCTTCTGAATTTCTGGGAAACCAAAAGAGATACCGATACCGATGCTCATCGGACCTCTCCTGGGGTGCGATCTGGCCAACGTTTCGAGGCGACTTTAGCCGTGTCGACGGGAGCTCACCAGGATGAGCGGCGGCATATCGGCATCTGTTCGTCCTCTCTGACCTCCTGCGCGCTTCCGAAATACCCGTTTCTAAGCACCCGTCTCGATGGCGTTGACACGAGAACGGCGCACATGCACCGTACCGTGTCTGAACCCCCTTCAGGCCCCACTCCACCGTGGTACGGTGCATAGTTTTTCGGCTCCGAAGACCGAACAAGTATGCACCACCGTTCCTG